GCCCCCCCCCCCCCCCCCCCTCCCCCCGCCCCCCCTTTCCCCGCCTGACAGGTACATGAAGGGGGTTGTTCGCTGGTTCAATCTGTCCCCTCTTCCCGAGAACATGCGGCCGGAGAAGAAGCTCGTCAGGTTCCCGCTCACTCCCGCGGGCAGCGGCAGCCTGATAAGGAGGCGAGAGCAGAACAACGAGAACGACAACTCCGCCTCGCAGCTGCTGTTCCAGGTACGTAATCTTCGTGTGTATTCGAGGCTACGTGTCGTCCACTGGCATGTGTTGTATCCATACCTTGAAGTTTCGGTCCTTGTGTGTCGGGGGAACCCGGGTCAATCCAAGCGGACCTGACCTCGCCCCGGGGAACCCGACTCAAAGCCCAACCGCAACCCCAATCGACCCAACCGGAACCTGGCTGAAACCGAACCGAAACCCGATTCAACCCGACCGGAACCTGGCTCAATCCAACCGGAACCCCGACTCAACCCAAGCTGACCGTGGCCCGAATGTCGAGTTCGGCATGCCGCGGCTGGGTTGACGCTGCTGTATATTGTTAACAAGGCACCACACGTTCAAAGAGTAACACGCCCACGCTAGAAAACCTAATAGTTTCCTCCTGCGAGGCAGCAGTGAGGCGCGTGTCGGGAACCATCTACATCCCCAAAAGTGTCAGCCAAATCCCTTGGCGCGACAGTATGCGGCCTCATACAGGAACCACTGCTACCGACCCACGAAATCCTGACCAAGCGTATTCGTGTGGCACAATCCACCCCATTGGGAAAATAATATGTTCTTCCTTTGCGGGACAACCCGCGTCCCCTTCCATGAACCCATCCATCACGCACATCATCACCAGGTGTCGGATCGGTCCATCGAGAACCGCGTGCTGGCGCAGCTGCTCATGTCCATCATGGAGGACCCCTACTACGACTCCCTCAGGACGAAGCAGCAGCTGGGCTACCTTGTCTTCTCAGGCGTCAAGATCGTGGAGGGGGTCAGCCTCGTGTATCTGCTTGTGCAGTCGGCCGAGCGGGGACCCGCGTACCTGACGGACCGGTCCCTTGAGTTCTTGGACCAGTGGAGGCAGGAGCTCGTCGACCTTCCCGCCAGCAAGCTCAAGTACGCCGACATAAGACTTTCACTAGGAAAAATATTACGAAGTACATTTTTTTTTTCTTTCGGTTCGTTGAGGTTCTCTGGGCTCTTCGATTCAAAACCACGTCAGTTTGTGTGAGCTGTTCGAGCTTGGGACGTCAATGATGCCAGCTGGCAGCTGGTGCACACCAACACATGCTCTACACGTTCGCCTTGCATCGCGCCTAGATGACACTACGGCTATGTTCTGATGAGCCCACTCCCAAGGCGCGCCTTGTATAGAAGTACGAATATGTACATATCTCGAGATGTTGTCGAACGACGTGTTTTTTTAGTGTCGAGCCGTTGGGGTGCCAAGAGGCGACGGACCAGACAGCAGCAAGCGGTACCTATGCTGCTGTGCAGGAAACGCGACTCGTTCTGGAGGGAAGACTAAGCTAGCAGATTCGAATCGTCTTTTTTTATTTTCATTCTCGGACCGTGACGTGACAACTGTGTTCCGAAATACGAGTACCTGGTTAGTTATCTTTATCTCCCTCTTGTGCTCTCTCTGCCCCTCTTTTGCTCTGTCTCTGTATCTGTATCTGTATCTGTATCTGTCTCTGTGTGCCTGTCTGTCTCTCCGATTGCCGATGAAAAAAACAACAAAACACAACAGGGACTACGTGGGGGGCCTGATAGACAGGAAGCTAGAGCCCGACCGACGCCTGTCCTCCGAAGCGGAGCGGAACTGGGCCGAGATGTCGACCGGTCAGCTCAGGTTCGACCGAAGGCGAGAGGAAGCCAAGGCACTGGAGCAGATCCGGGCGGGAGACTTGTTGCGCTTCTTTGACCGGTGAGCGGGCGTTGTCTTGTCTTGTGGGCTGCAGGCAGCTTAGTCTAGTTGTTTGCGGAATTGCCGTGCCTCTTTCGTAGGCACGCTGTCGTCGTGGACGGACCCTCTATTGGGCGGGTGGTCGGTCAAAGGCGGATGAAACTTCTTGTTGGCATAGATAAATAGTCGTTGTCTGCTTTGATCAATACAGTATATAGGTCAGGTCTCCGCTATATGGGCGGGTGGATGGGCCTGGCACGTACGTTCCCGCCCGACAGAGTGCCCACCCGAGACAGTATTCGAGCAACGATTCAACCCAATGCCGAGGGAGTCGAGGCTGCTGAACTGTGTCACTCGCCATGAAATCGAAGGCTGGAAAAGGACTCATTTGGAGTGAGTCCCGATCGCAGCTCTCCATTGCATAGAAAGGGCAGGTACTGCGAGCGACGGTGGTACGAAATGAGTGTATGGGATGGTTGTGAGTAGAAGAAGTGCTTGGTTGCTATACCGTGCTGTGTGGATGGGTGTGATGCATTCTAGCCACTATTCGTTTTGTATAGCTTGCTCTCGTTTTTTTTTAGCGTGAGTTTTTCAGTGTTGCGCTAACTTCTCCGCGATGTTTTTAGATGCCAATGCGTGCGAATTTCAGCTGATTTACACAAAAAACCCTCCCCCTCATTGACCGAGCAACGTGAACGATAAATATACCTCGTTTCACCTTTGCTTCTCGCCGGCAAAAATCGAAATATCGGTCGTGGAAAAACATAACTCCCCCCGCAGGCATCTCCGTGAGGGGGGGCAGGAGCGGCGCTTGCTGACGTCAGAAGTCTTCGCCAAAAGCCGGGCCAGGGAGATGGAAGCCCCGGCGAGAGGGGCGACGCTGGTGACCAACGAGAAGAAGTGGAGGGGACAGCAGGAAAAGTTCCCGGTCCGGAAACGCCTCACCCGTGTGGAGTGATTGACGTACCTCCGATAGTTCGTTTGTTTGCTGCCGCCGTCGGTCGTTTCCCTTGGTTCAAACTGTGCCGTTTCGTCCTATGTAGAATTGATTGAGAAACTCCCAAGACGAAGGAAGAGCCAACAAAGATAGCCTTTAGTCTAGTCGTTGCCAAGCTGTCGACATATGAAGAAGCAAAAAGAGTCCCCGAGAGGGGGGGGGAGCGGTGCCTTCGATCTGCTAGAATAGACGGTGTGGGAGACCATAGCAGGCATACGCGCTAGAAGAACACCGGTCGATTTTTGCTGTCGAGCACCGGCCGGCTGGTCACCTTTGTGCTCACGCTTTTTGCGGTGTTTACAACGCTGAGGCACGGAAACGGTGGAAGACTGTTTCAGGGGAACCGGACGACCGGTGCAGGACGATAGCGGGGTACCCTTGTGAAAGCGATCGAAAGAGATATTCATTACGTTTGTAGGTGTGTTCGTGTTACACGCTGTTGCTTTGATCGTCTGTCTTGACGAGACGATTTCACTCCGGAGGCACCCAAGCCTAAACTTAGAGATCCTACGTGAAGGTGTGTGTGGCGGGGGGGGGGGGGG